GTTCTAGGAAATTTCATTGGTGAGCTACATTTGCTATAAATATATGGATTTTTAAGACCCCAAGGTAATTTCATTATATGGTTTTCTTTTGGTTGTCACTACTACTTCTGGGTTTACAGGCATGTATCATGTTGGTGTTCACCATATTGGTGATGCAGATTACATGGTAAAGCAAGCATCAATACTGCATGGCAATACACAGGTAAACACAAAGGCGATGCCTGAGCAATCCTATATGCTATGGATTCCTTCATTGTACATGTAAAACCTGTCCAGGTATAACCCAAATATTTTTCATGTAAGTTCAAAATAGTTCAATATATATGTAAAAAACAGATACGTTTTTATAGGACTAACATAATTTTGTAATATATTTAAAAGAAGAAAAACTACCAAAACAAGAAGACATAGTCTTAAATTAGAGGGGCAAAGCTTTAAAAATAATTTCAGGAAGTATTACTTTACTGAAAAGGTAGTGGATGCATGGAATAGCCTTCCAGCTAAAGTGGTAGAGGTCAACACAGTGAGGGAGTTTAAGCATGCGTGGGATAAAGAAAGTATGTAGAAAATTGGTCAGCCTAGATGGGCATCTATACAATGTTTTATAATTGCAATGGTTAATTCACAATGATTTCATTGACTGGTTCATTGACTGGTTGTATATTATGCCTTAAATAGGTGTTTAATGGTGGTGGGGATTTGGGGAGGAGAGGGGGTCTTAATTTGTATTTTGTTCCATCGTGGTTTTTTTTTTTTTTTTTTAAATATAAAGGACTATTATTGAGACAAGTGACCTCATGGATATATTTTTGTAAGACTTTCTCAAGTCCAGCCATTTGCAAGCATTGGATTATATTATTGTGGACTGAGATGTTGGCTGTGACTGAGAATTATAGTACAGATCATGAAGATTCATCAGGTAACGTCAACAGGGTTCACTGCCTAAATGATAATAGTTGTTTTGGTTTGTTTTTTACTACCATCCTTTTGGTTTTTCTTTGATTGCTGGGGTATCCAAGTTACATTTCTGCTGCCTTTGAGGTTAGTGCTGTATCTTCTTTTTTGTTTGTACAATTCATTACCTAAATGTCTAATGTATTTGCTTGATCTTCTATTACATATGTATTTTGTAGAGAGACCGCTTTGGGTCCGTCCTACCTTTTTCTTTATCTATACAATTGACCACATTTTATCTATCAATAATGGCTAGAAAAGACTAGCTTTTCAAACTAAAAGAAAATGGGATTTGAGAGCGAGTGATAACAATATATATCTATGCTACAAATATATACAAGGCCAGTACAATCAGTTCTCTCATGATCTGGTCATAAAAGGAACACCATAGAAACCCACACCAAGTATTATTATTCTTATTATTCTTATTATTCTTATCATGTGTATAGTGTCAACATATTGCCCAATGCTTTATAATATGATAAAGTAGGAAATTTCACAATAAAGAGACAATTACAAAATGTTGCAGAAATTATTTACTTATTTATAAAATATTTTACCAGGAAAGATACATTGAGATTTCTCTCGTTTTCAAGTATGTCCTGGGTCCACAAAACATTGCATTGATACATCAGGGTACAATAAAATACACAAACAATATTAATACACAATATATACAAAATTTAACTTAGAACAGTTAGGAAATATATAATCAACCATAACACGTGCATTCTGTTTTGAGGTACGTAGAGAGGGATCTCTTAAAAGACTTTAGGCTTGGAGAAGATTTTAAAGTGTGCGGGAGGTCGTTCCATAATTGTGGCACTCTGTAGGAAAAGGAGGTTCGGGATTTCTTTTTGTGCTGGTACTGGATCGGAGGTTATAGGAGGTGGGAACAGCCGAGGAGAGCATTCTGCTCAGGTAAGGCGGGAGCTTCCCAGAAAAGCTCTTAAACACAAGGCTGGAAAGATGAAGGGTGCATCTGGATTCTAGCGACAGCCAGTTTAGTTATTTTAGCATGTCACAATAGTGGGTCTTGTAATTACATTGTAGCGCAAATCGGCAGAACGAGTTATACACTGTATTGAGTTTATTAATGTGGGATTGCGGTGCAGGTGCATATACTACACTCCCATAATCAATGATTGGCATCAGCATTTGCTGTACAATCTTTTCTTTCACTGAAGGGCTTAGGCAGGATATGTTTCTGTACAGGGCACCTAGTTTTGGATAAAGTTTAGATGCAAGTTTTTCTATGTGGAGGCCAAAAGATAGATTGAGGTCTAACAACACACCCAAGTATTTGAAAGAGTGGACTGCGGTCAGTGTGCTTTTTGAATTAGTTTTGATGAATAGGTGGGAATTGTGTAATTTTGTGTATTTTAGGTACTGTTCCAAAGATCATTGTGACAGTTTTGTCAGTGTTTAGGAAGAGTTTGTTTTTTGTGATCCACTTTTTTACCTCTGTGAACTGGTCTTGGAGCACAGTCTCAAGCTGCGGTAGATCGGATTTGCTCGCATAGATCATTGTGTCCTCTACGTACATGTGTACATTTGAGGATTTGCATACATTAGGCAGTTCATTTATAAATAATGTAAATAGTAGGGGACCGAGAATGGAACCTTGGGGAACACCATACGTGACTAGGAGAGGGAGGGAGTCGCTGTCAAAAATGGACACATATTGCAAGCGATCCGATACATACGATCGAAACCAGGTTAGCGGACAATCACCAATACCTGCGTTTTTGAGTTTGTGAAGTAGAATGTCGTGGTCTACCGTGTCAGAGGCATTTGCAAAATCAAGGAAAATAGCTCCAGTTAGGTCTCCTTGTCCCATGCCAGTTTGGATGTCATTGCAAACTTTTAAGAAGGCAGTTGTAGTGGAGTGATTTGGACAAAAGCCCGATTGATCAGGGGTTAGATAGTTTGATTGTTGGTAATACTCACATAGTTGCATATGGACACATTTTTTTAAAGATTTTTGACAATACTGGGAGGAATGATATTGGGCGATAGTTAGAAACCAAAGTAGTGTCACCACTTTTATGGATAGGCACTACTCTTGCAGTCTTCCAAAGTTTGGGTATGTATCCAGACACCAAGGATTCATTAATTAGGGTTGTGACAGGTTTAGCAATTGCCGGCACACTGAGCTTCAACAACATCGCTGGGATTTGATCAGGTCCAGACTGTTTTTTTCATTTTTAGATTATTAAGGTGTTTTTTAATGACACTAATAGGTACAGGTCTAAAAATGAACTTGTCTATATTGAGTCTTTGCAAATTTAGTGGGGCCTGATCCACATTTGTAGTTCCAGGATGCGTGTCATTTATTAGCTTGGCAATAACGGTAGTGGAGCATCCAACAAAATAATTGTTAAAGGCATTTGCTACATCTAAGGGAAGTTGCAGGGTTTAGTTATCCACTTTGACAGTGGAGGGTTGGGAGTGGATTGGGGGAGTTTGTAATTTATTTATGACTTTCCAAAAGTTTCTAGGGTTTGATAGGTTACTGCATAAATCTGTGGAGGAGATGATTAAAGATACACAAGTGATGGAAAATTCCAACTCACATTTCTCAGAGCCTTATAAAGGGACAGGCTCAGATCACAAACACTTATGTGCCGTATGGTGGCACTTAACCCTTTTGGATATGTAGATCTTACTCAAAAGAGATAAAAGCAGAGAGACTCCTATGGTGTAGCATATAATGAACCAGTGATAATATTACTGTAAAAAGTAAATCAGTGCTCACCTTTACCAGAGTCCCTGGTACCTGGCTCTGGGTATAATCGTTTGAGTGCTTTTAAAAGGGAGGCACCACCCTTGAAGCAGACGTTGAGGTAGTCAAGTAGGGACTTTTAAAATTAATATTTATTACAATAAAAAATAAAGTATAATATACAGGTAAAAAGTATATAATAATAGTATCCCTGAGTGGACTCCTCTCGCCGGGACGCGTTTCTCCCAATGCCTTGGGCTTCTTCAATCGGTATTGTGCATCTCCATACTGGTTCATTATATGCTACACCATAGGAGTCTCTCTGCTTTTATCTCTTTTGAGGAAAATCTACATATCCAAAAGGGGTTAAGTGCCACCATACAGCACAGAAGTGTTTGTGATCTGAGCCTGTCCCTTTTATAAGTCTCTGAGAAATGTGAGTTGGAATTTTCCACCACTTGTGTATCTTTAATGATCTCCTCCACAGATTTATGCTATATTCTATTTCTATTTCTTTTCTTTTTATGTTAATAATCACCTGTATATTGTCTGTGAGTATTATTGTCCATCTCACTAATTTTCTATAAGTGCTCCACTTAGCATATACCAAGGCTGGACATTTATCTAAACCTTATTATATGCAAACTTTTGTTCTATATATTTGTCACAGGGGGTGAGGGAGACTTCCCCTGGAGTGTGAAGCTGCTGTAAACGTATATTGTAAAACTTACTAAGCGCACCAGTCACGGTTCCCCTTTTTTATATATTTGATAGGTTACTGTTCTGATTATCACAGAAATATTGGGCCCTGGACAATTTTGTTTGTTTTGTGCATATATTTCACCATTGTCGAGATGCACAGTGATCGTTCATAGAGCCAGTACGCTTGAACTTTGACCACAATGAATCCCAAAACTGGTACATTTGGATGAGGTCAGCTGTGATACAGTTCATATGTGCCTCTTTTACTCTAACCTTACGCAGCGGAGCATGCAAATTCCAAACTTGTAGGAGTTCAGACTGAAAGAATTCAACTGCACAGTCTAGATCTGGGATAATGTTTAATCTGTGACATGGGAGGTTCTTGATGTCATTAAGAAAGGCTTCAAGATTACATTTTTTTGAAGGACCCAGCGACTTTAACCTTGGGAGAGGATTTAGTAGCATTTATTTTGTGCACGCAGTACACTAAACAGTTATCCCTGAAACTGTTAGGGAGAACTGAGCGAAAGAAGGAGTAGTGGAGGTAGACAAACCCCCCACTATTTCCTCAAGCGAGAAGGTTACAGGAGGTAACAGGGGCTTAACCCCAATTAACTAAGAAAAACGACAAGAAAGAATAGAGAGGGAGGTCTAATCCCCTAAGGAAGGGGGAGGGGACTACCCAGACCATTCAAAGAATACCTCCTACTGTTAACAGTAGGAGGTATTCTTTGTATGGTCTGGGTAGTCCCCTCCCCCTTCCTTAGGGGATTAGACCTCCCTCTCTATTCTTTCTTGTCGTTTTTCTCTGTTAGGGAGAACACTGTTAGGGAGAATAAAAGGTTGATGAGGACCTTGCTCAAACAGTAGGAGGTATTCTTTGAATGGTCAGGGTAGTCCCCTCCCCCTTCCTTAGGGGATTAGACCTCCCTCTCTATTCTTTCTTGTCATTTTTCTCTGTTAGGGAGAACACTGTTAGGGAGAATAAAAGGTTGATGAGGACCTTGCTCAAAGAAGCTTAAAATCCAGAAGTGTTGGGATATTGAAAAAAAACACAGCAAGAAGGGAATAGTGCAGGAAAGTAACCAAGCAAAAATATGGGAACTGGAAGGTGAGAGTGGAGTGTGGCTCTTTAAGAGAGAGCAAAAGACAGTTTTGTGAGATAGACGCTACTCTGGAAGGACATAAGATTTTCTAAAGAGATGGGTTTTTTAGGGACTTCATAAATTGTTGAAGACTAGGGTTGCATATGATAGGAGTAGGCAGTAGCATGTTTAAATGAAGCGGGGACAATGTCAGAAGAAAGAGAATAGTTGAAGATATGCACATAGGATGACACAAGACAAGGGTAGAGAGATTTCATAAGGTGAGATGGGATGGGATCAGATGGACAAGTAGTGGGATGTGAGGAAAGGTAAAGCTGGGGAGAAGTTGTGGAGAAGGGTAGAAGGCTTGAAAAGGCATTGCCCATGTGTAGTTGAGAGAGAGAGAGAGAGAGAGAAGAGTGAGCGGGAGAAAAATTCCTTCCTTACTGGATTAATCTTGTCAGTAAAATAGCATGCAAAGTATCAGCTAAAAGGTTACCTAGGTGGATGATCTTGGCAGGACAAAGAAGAGAGTTGAAAGAATCAAAGAGACATCTGGAATTGTGGGAGTATGTGCTAATGAAAGATGAAAGGTAAGATTGTTTACAATTTTTGCAGTTGCACTCCTAGCCACTAAACCCGTACCAACAAATTGGAATCATCATTTTACAGTTAATTAGGTATTTTTTCTTGTTTTGCCGATTATGTTCAATCTAGTATGTGCTATGCAAGTGAATACTGAGCAGTGTTTCTTAAAGTGAAACATAATAAAGGTACAGTAATAAATCCACCAAGCACTAACCATTTTTGAAACACAAACACGTTTGTTTTCTGAATATGTGAATATCTCTTGTAATTCCATTATTGCGGTCTGGTGTTTACTGATATTTTCTTAATTTCAGGTCACTCAGCTATCCAGAGCTTGATTCCAGAAGACATTTTTGCAAGTCAGCACAATCTTATTACACCATTATTCTTGCTTTTTTGGACCAGAATTACCTTCCCGAATTGTCTTGGTACCTAAATTAGATTACAAAGAACAGTAGCATGAACTACGTTCTGCCATCTACTTATGGGAAGGCACAAGCTTATAGGGACCCCAATAGTGCCTATAGCTCAAAGGTGATCAACCTCCAAAATACAGGAAACAGGAACAAAGACTGGGCAGTTCTGTGAGGTCAATGCAGCTTTATTAGTCTAAGTGCAGAAACATTTCACCTCCAAACAGAGCCTTTTTCAAGCTAACAACATTTAGAAACACAGCAGTATTTATAATAAAATGATAATCACAAAAACAGTGTTGTGTGCAAAAATCATTGCAACATGCAAAATTAACAGGTCATGATCACTTCATGACACAAAACCTTCATATTAATACATTTCTAATATTGTAAATAATTTTTATAAAAATGAAAAAGAATACACTCGCATAGAAAGCCAAATAAAAATATAGAGAATAGATAAGAATTACTGTAAAACTGCAAAAGCAATTAGAATCATGTGAAAGATGATTAAGACAGAAAGGATGTATAATAATAACATCATAACATAAACCTTGCCTATATTAAAATTGTTACTAGTATGCATAAGATGATAAAAGGATAACAAGAATATACTAATGTAAAAAACAGAATACAAGCATTGAGAAAAAATATGAATTACCTTAAAAAGTGCAGAAATATTAAATAATAATAGATTGGGACAGATGACATCACCCATCATGTGAAACTATGTTATCATATGGAGGGCATCATTCACAATCTCCAAAAATATTAATATTTTAATATTAATATTTTTTTTTATAGCTCCTGGAGGTTTCTGGTACCTTAATACAAGTAAAAATGCTTCAATTTGTATATTCCAAGATGAACAGAATGCCATTCAAATGATTACAATACCAATCATGTCAAGAGCTCCACAAAAATGCTATATAATATTGGGTATGTTACGGCTATGTAATGCAATATGAAATAAATTGCTTAAGAACACAAGGAGGTAAATTCTACATTATAGAGTGATCATGTGATTGCAATATCAGTCATGTGACCATGATCATGATCACTAAGAGAGCCTCCACAGAGATTAGGTTACCTAAGTAACCTGATATTACTAATAACTACACAGAAGGGAAAATATATTAAAACTGAAAAGAAATCTCTTCATAATATAAGAAATATGAGATATGAGTAAAACTCATACAAATAAGCTCATTATATATATATATATATATATATTAAAAAAGATGGTAAAGAATTCTGAATTAATTATTCTTATTAAGTCATTTTTCCTATTCCTATTAATTTCTAGTAAAAGATTAATGAATGGTCTATTGCTGCCCAGTAATTAATACAAAAAATGTCCAGCACGGCGAGGGTTTACATTAATAATAAAGCAGAGGGCATAATATTATGCGCCACTGCAGTGGGGCTATTTATAAAATAATAAAATATTAAACAAGAGAACTCAGAAAAACACATTAACAGATGCTCATATATGTATTCCATATATATACACTCTAACACACACATGCACACAATACCAAACATACATTGATACCAATCTACCAATAAATATCGACAAACTCTGTTGGGCACACATACAGCCAGTTTGCAAATGGTAGATGCATTATATGATACATTTTTATATTACTGCTATTTCTACAGAAACTTTAGCTGGATTTTTACTTGAATACAAATGTAAGTGCATCATATTGTTATATTTATGCTAGAGGTAATGAAAGGAGGAATGTTAGCTAGTCTTGACATGTTGCTTCTGTCTACAAGGCCTCTGCAATAACAAGTTTTTTTTCAATGAATTCCAGACAGTTATAAATATTATCTTGCCTGTATTGCATGAACATTTTTTTTCTCTTATTTCTTGTTTTATTTTGAGTTGGTCAGTATATTATACCCTACGTATCATGCTAATTTAACAGAGCCAAATACTATTTTTTTTATTGAGTAGTCATTTGTGATTTGTAATGTTATTTTCAAGAACTTTTTATTTATCAGAACTCCTCTTATATATTATTCATACACACTTCCCATCATACACACAATTTACGTTTCAAAATGACATAAAATCACTTGTTTAGATGTGTCGTGTAAAGTACTATAAGACAGACAAAATTAGAAAAGCGGGAATGAAGGATAAACAAAAATAAGGAAACAATAGCTTGCTTGTAATACAAATTAATAGCATTAGTAGTTACTTAGTTACATAGGCGAAAAGAGACATGTCTCCATCAAGTTCAGCCTTCCTCACATTTGTTTTTTGCTGTTGATCCACAAAAAAGAAAAAAAAAACAGTTTGAAGCACTTCCAGTTTTGCCACAAACTAGGAAAAAAATTCCCTCTTGATCCCAGAATGGCAGTCAGATGAATCCTTGGATCAAGAAGCATTTACCCAACACTGAAAAATTATATCCTTGAATATTCTGTTTTTGCAAGTATGCATCTAGTTCAGGGATAGGCAACCTTCAGCACTCCAGATGTTGTGTACTACATCCCCCATAATGTTCTTACACACATAATGCTGGCAAAGCATCATGGGAGGTGTAGTCCAAAACATCTGCAGTTCTGAGGGTTGCCTATGCCTGTTCTAGTTGCTGTTTAAACATCTGTACAGACTCTGATAAAAGCACTTCTTCAGGCAGAGAATTCCATATCTGTGTTGTTCTTATGGTAAAAAAATGTTTCCTTTGCCTTAAACTAAATCTTCTTTCTTCCAGTATAAACGCATGACCTTGTGTCCTATGTAAAGTCCTGCTTGTAAATAGATTTTCACAAAATGGTTCATATTGGCCATGGATATATTTGAAAAAGGTTATCATATCCCCTCTGAGGCAACGTTTTTCTAAACTAAAGAAGTTTAAATTTGTTAACCTTTTTACATAGCTAAAATGTTCTATTCCTTTTATTAATTTTGTAGCCTGCATCTACACTCTTTCTGGTGCCATAATATCCTTCTTTAGAACAGGTGCCCAAAACTGCACAGCATATTCAAGATGTGGTCTTACCAGCGATTTATAAAAAGGCAAAATTATATTCTCATTCCGAGAATTAATGTATAATTTGTTGTCTTTAACAATTCCCAAGTCCTCCTCGTGTGTTATCTTTAATTTGCTTCGATTAATGGTATAAGTTGCCTGTGCATTCTTGATGCAGAAGTGCATAACTTTGCATTTTTCTACATTAAATTTCATCTGCCATTTGAGTGCCCAGTCCCTCAGTCTATCTAAATTCATCTGCAGCTAAGTAAAATCTTGCTCACATTGTATTACTTTACATAGTTTTCTGTCACCTGTAAACACTGAAACATGACTTTCAATGCTTTTTTCAAGATCATTTATAAACATATTAAATAAAAGGTCTCCCAAAACAGAACCATGAGGGCACCTCTGTCCAGCTTGAAAATGTACAATTAATGACAACTCTCTATACACTATTTTAAAGCCAATGTTCTACCCAAGAACAAGAATTTTAATCTAGACAGATTTCTTTGAGTTTTAACACTAATCTATTGTATGGCAAATATAAATACATTACATCAACTGCAAAACCCTGATCTATTCTTCTACTTACATCTTCATAGAATGCAATCAACATGACCTGTGCTTCATTAAATCATGCTGATTTTTGCTGATAACCCTATTCTTCTCAATGAATTCTTGAATATTATCCCTTAATAACCTTTCAAATACTTTCCCAGCTACAGACGTTAA